ATAAAAAAGAACACCGCTTGGGGGGGGCCCAAAAGCCCTACTAAGCAGGTATATACAAAAGTATGAAGGCTATTGCTTAATGCATTGTAAGCCACCATGAGTCTCCGGAAAAGGGCGGCATATAAATCGAACTAATAAATAAAATAAGATGGTAGATCATTGAAAAAGTCAAAGAATACAAAGATGAAGTCCATATCTGCTTCACTTATTACAGAAACGTATTGTGTCAACCATCTCAGTCTGTGGGACCACCCTAAAAAATGGGAAATCCACATCTTATTGTCCTCTTATGAAACCTATGCACTGAATAAATTGTTACCATCTGGATAAAAGATGGAAAAACAGACTACCTTCAAGTCAGCATCATAATACATTATATAAGGGATATGGCTTGTTCCACCATAGTTTATTGAATAAACCAAAACCACCTATACATTCTAGGCATTACATCTTGGTTTGCTATGCCCAAAGGCCAAGTTCGCACAACATATTAAGCCACAGTCAAACAATGATATTATAGTACAATGTGGAATGTGAACTAGCTAAAGAATAGTGGCTGATTTCAACCTACGCTCCAAAATTTAGCGAAGATTTATTAAAATCCAATGAGTAACATGCATATGCATTGACCCCGTAGGTTTCCAATAATTCAACCACGTAATTGCAATAATTATAGTAATCACTGTAATTATTGTGACCCGCATATAAGGTCAAGTGTTCACCATGAATTAAGTCAAATTATTCCTTTTTAATCCCACACATGCTTTAAGGAACTTGAAATGTTCTAGAGGATTCTCATTCAACCCAATTTATCCTTATCTTAAACTTGTAAAATATATTCATCTGAGAAGCAAGATGATTCACCAGACCAGAAGCTGACTGCAAGAAGACTTCTATTCATGCTTCTAACCCAGAAATGGAAGTGAAGCTGACATCAGGATGTGCTTACACTATAATCTGCTATTATCAGTTCAAACTTATTTTTTCTAGTTAGCTGCAATGAAAGCACTGGATTTATAGAGACCATAGTTTAGTAGTAAAGCACCTACAAAATTTCCAAGGACTTGAGAATAATCATGTATGATCCTCTAAAGAGTTGTTAGTCAACCAATATTGATAATACTCAGCTATATGAGTCGGTAATCTAATTTAGCACGTGCACCTTTTAATAATCCCATTTGGCATATATACCTTCTTATAATCCCATTGCCCTTATGAATCTTTGCATAAAACTTTAGAATTGGGAAAGGGCATCTAAAAATAAGGTTCTAAGCTTTATCCTAAAATAGTCTGATCTCACAATGTCTGCTTGATTACTGCCTTCAGCAAAGCTTGGTGGTCTTGGGAAGTCTTGAGCAAAATTTTAAACTGGGTGTCTTACATCTGCCAAGATCCAATAGGTTGAATATCTGTGAGGTTTCTATTTTGTTTCTGAAGAAAGGAAGTGAAAATGTTGATCTAGGCCAACTTCACATTTACTGACATCCTTTCATTTGAAAACATAACTCATACCAGTGGTGGATTCCTCCCTGTTTGGTCCGGTTCGGCCGAGCCGGTAGCGGTGACGATATGACGTCACCGAACCGGTTCTCCCCAGCCCCCGCCCTCCCACCCCCACCCCCCCCACGTTATTCTTACCTTTTATTTGGTCCCACCCCCAATCTATTGCTGCCTCCTGAGTCCCAGCTGATGACTAGAGGGAAAAAAACCTCTTGCCGCGGGGCTTCAAAGGGCCGCCCTACAGCTGATCAGTGTTAAAAGCAAACAAATGAGTCGGGTTGTAAGTGCGAGGACTGGTCGTAAGTGCAAGGATCTTCCAGAAATGACTCTGACCAGCTAGCCACGCCCACCTAGTCACATGACTTCCAAGTCACACCCACAAAATAAGCCACGCCCATAGAACCTGTAGTAAAAAAATTTAGAACCCATCCCTGACTCATACCATCATGAACCCATAAATAATGGCTTGTTCACAACCCACAACTATTATGTTCCTACAAGACATCAAGCCAGTTTTCAACTAACCCAAAATGTGGTCTCAGCTTTTGCATTTCTTGCTAACTTGCATGAGAAGGTCCCATTAAATAGCCTGCCTAAGGCGCTAAAACATCTCTGGTTTAGACAGGAGGCTGGCGGGAAAGGTCACATAGTTATTCATAGGCTGTTTTTACTGAAGCTGCGTAAGAGGAAAAGAGGGACAGACATAAAACAGACTGCTCAGTTCTACCTTTCCTTCCACCGTCTCCAATATTATCTGTAATAAATGAGAAACTCTTTGGCAGTGCCTGTTCTTCTAGACCCCAGGTGTCTCTGCTTGTTTGTTCCTTTGAAGTGGGATATATTTTGTGCACCGTTCCAGCCAAAGAGAACAAATCTATTTGCCTCCCAAATGTTCTCTACATATTACTCCTCTGTTTCCCATTCCAAACAGTTGTCCTGGAATCCTCTGCATACTTAGAACAGCTGTTCTGGTCCTTTTTTTGCTCTGCTTCACTGATGCATGGAGTGACAACTCTATGGAGGTGGGAACAAGGACCCTAATTCTAATCGTAAACTTGATTGCTAAATAATTATTTGTCTGGTTGCTTGCATCTGCCAGGAAGGAAGGAAGGAAGGAAGGAAGGAAGGAAGGAAGGAAGGAAGGAAGGAAGGAAGGAAGGAAGGAAGGAAAGGGAGGAAGGGAGGAACAAAGGAAGGAAGGGAAGGAAGGGAGGAGAGGGAGAAACGAAGGAAGGAAGGGAAGGAAGGGAGGAGAGGGGAGAAATGAAGGAAGGAAGGGAAGGAAGGGAGGAGAGGGGAGGAACAAAGGAAGGAAGGGAGAAAGGGAGGGAAGGAAAGAAGAAGGGAGGGAGAGAGGGAGGCAGGGGTGGGTTCTACTTACCTTTACTACCAGTTTGCAACGGGGCCACGTGCACACGCTTGCTTTGCTCACGCACACACGCACTCTTCTGCGCAAGCGCAGAAGCTTCTGCACATGTGCAGAAACATTTTGATGATGTCGGGATCGGTGGGCGGAGCCTCCCGCCGGTTTTACTACTGGTTCTATAGAACCGGTTTGAATTGGGGGCAACCCACCACTGGAAGGAAGGAAGGAAGGAAGGAAGGAAGGAAGGAAGGAAGGAAGGAAGGAAGGAAGGAGAGGGAAGGAAAGAAGGAAGGGAAGGGGGAGGGAGGGAGGGAAAGGAAGGAGAAGGGAAGGAGAGAGGGAAGGGAGAGAGGGAAGGGAGAGAGGGAAGGAAGGAAGGAAGGAAAGATCTCAGCATTACTTTCTCCCAGGAGCTTGGAAACATTTCTTGTGATGCCCCACCCAGACTTCATCTGTGCTTAGATTTTCTGCTTAGAAGCTGAAATTCTGAAAAAGTAGCCCAGGAATGGAAGACTCATCCTTGTCCAAACACATTGCTGTCCAATGAATTAAAGATTTCCAATGTGACCCAAACAATCCCTCAGCAACTAGTACGGAGGTGGAGGGCTGAATTGATTAAAGAAAGTAAGACAGTGAGTCCAGAACATTTGCTTTGCTTTCTTTTTCGTACCTTAGAATAACGCAGCGCTACCCCAGTTGTTGACTATACAAGTTGCCTTTCCTTCTCCTGCTCATGCTAAGACACAATTATACAACCAGGAGTGCATTCCGCCACGCTCTCAAGACTTTTTTATTCCACCAGGTGGCCTGGCCTAATCTTTTTCCCCTTTTTCTTTTTTAATACGTAAATTTTAATCTGTTTTTAAATGATTGGGGTGTTTAAATCTGTCTGGGCCAAATTTGTTTAATTTGGTTTTATTCTGTCTTTTAAATTTTGTATTTATGTATTTTATTGTTTGGCTGTTCACCGCCCTGAGTCCTTCGGGAGTAGGGCGGTATATAAATCAAATAAAGACTAAAAGAAAGACTAAAAGGCATGCCTCTCTCAAAAACCTGTGGCCCGCAACAATCAAATATACACCTTTCCGCATGCAATAGCTCCGTAGGAGGCCTCTAGAGATAGAGATTCTCAAAATTAAATGTTAATGTGCTAGACATGGTAAACTATTAAATGCATAGAGAGTAATCACCAATCATTAATTTAATTTTAAATCAGTTTCTGGGGTTCTGGAAACAGGAATCACCTCGGATGGGTAGATAGAAAACCTTTTGGAAGAGGAATCAGCGTAAGAGAAATTCACAAAGAAAAATCACACACGGATGCAAGAGCTTCTAACCCAACAGAGGAACCGTAACCTCAAAAACCTGCTATTGGAATAGCGATTACTAATTTTTAGCTGAAGCACAGGTAATTTAATCAGGGGAACGAACATGGCACGTCCGTAAGAACGAAGGTTTGTCCTTGCAAAGGCTGGAAATTTGTTTTTGGTTCAATGTAATGGAAGTATATAATTACTGCAGTTTTTCTGAATTTAACAACCTTAAGCTAGCTGGGGAACATTGGGAGTTGAACTCCACACATCTTAAAGCTGTTGAAGTTGAGAAATACTGCATTAATGGGACAGGCTTCTGCCGTGCTTTGGTCTCCTCCTGAGGTGGTGATGTGCGATGCAATGAACTTATTGCCATTTTTACAAGCAGCTCCCGGCTCCTTTTATGCTCAGCTCTTAAAAGAGCAGATATTCGTTTCCAGTCGTTGCTAATTGAATATGACACATTGGCCTCCTGGTTTCTTTCTCTCTCTCTCTCTCTCTTTCTGTTGTTCGCTTTTTGAGTGAGCTAACATTCAAAATAATCTGTGCAGGTTATTTTGTGAGCTTCTTAGCCAAAAGATGGCTCACCAATACATTAGCAAATGCATAAATAAATTCATTTGCGTACACAACCTGAAGCAATGGAAATGAGGAGAGAGTGAGCCGCGGTGCTTTGGAATAATGCTATATGTCACAGAAATTAAAGAAACAGATCCTTCAAACAAATATTGGTGCTCTCCTCAGTGCTGAACTCAAGTGTTGCTGATTTGTCTTTAGAAAGATCCTGCAGCCCCAGGCTATTCAAACTAAGCGCACCCTACCTTATAGAGTCCATGGCTACATCCAGAATAGGTGCTTTCCATGGTGTAGCTCCTCAGCACTCCAATTTCCCGCCAAACCACCACTCGGGCTGTGGAGTCGCGTGACTTCTCCAGCAAGAAGCTGCAGCTACTCATGAGAAAAGCTGGAGCCACTTTATCCAAGATCTTTGGCAGAGTCTGCAACATATCAAAGGATAGCACCGTTACATAAATGTGGTGCAGTGGTTAGAATGCAGTATTGCAGGCCAAATTCTGCACCACAGCCAGGAGTTCGATTCTGATCGGCTCAAAGTTGACTTGGCTTTCCATCCTTCAGAGGTCAGTAAAATGAGGGCCAAGATTGTTGGGAGAAATATGCTAACTTTGTAAACTGTTTAGGGAAAGATAAAGGTTCTCCTCGCACATATGTGCTAGTCGTTCCTGACTCTAGGGGGCAGTGCACATCTCCATTTCAAAGCCAAAGAACCAGCGCTGTCCGAAGACATCTCAGTGGTTTTTCTACTTGCATTTTTTATGTGCTTTCGAATTGCTAGGTTGGCAGAAGCTGGAACAAGTAACGGGAGCTCACCCCCTTACATGGCACTAGGGAACCGCTGATCAACAAGCTCAGCATCTTAGCCACTGAGCCACCATGTCCCTCTAAGTAAACTGCTTAGAGCCGTGATGGCGAACCTATGGCACACGTGCCAAAACTGGCACACATAACCATATCAGTGGGCACGTGAGCTCAGCTTCCGATGGGACTGGAAGTTGTCAAACGGGCCATTTTTGGCCTCTGGAGGGTCTCCGGAAGGGTGGGGAAGGCTGTTTTCACCCTCCCCAGACGCCTAGAGAGGCCCTGGAGCCAGGTGAGAAAGAAAAACGGACCTACTGGGCCACTGCATGCCAGGAGCGGGGTGAGCGTGGGGTGGGTGGGTCGCATAGAATTATGGGAGTGGGCATGTGCGCGTGCGACCTCCCCTGCCCCTCCTTCCTGGCACGCGATGGCAAAAAGGTTAGCCATCACTGGCTTAGAGGAAGCTATAAAACACTATGAAGTCTAGGTGCTCTTGCTGTTAGATTTTATTTTATTGTTTACTTTGACAATGGCTTCTTACTTTTCCCTTTAAAAAAAATCTTGGGTTGATTTTAAATGGAACTAGGAATAACGAGCCAATTTTGCTGGATTTAGTGGACTTTTTTTTTTCTTTCAAATTTTGAACTGCTCATCTCATCTTCCTCAGAGAGGGACCACTCTGGGTGGTGACTTTCTTAGCACTTGAATGACAAACCACGAAGAGACCACAGATTTGTAGGCTAGACTGAGAATTTGGGGGGGGGGCAGAACTGAGTTCTAGGGGAATGTGTTTATTTTTAAGCCCCCTTAATGCTAGGGGATGCAGTGGCTCAGTGGCTAAGATGCTGAGCTTGTCGATCGAAAAGTCGGCAGTTCAGCGGTCCGAATCCCTATTGCCGCATAACAGGGTGAGCTCCCATTCCTTGTCCCAGCTTCTGTCAACCTAGCAGTTCAAAAGCACATAAAAATGCAAGTAGAAAAATAGAGACCACCTTTGGTGGGAGGTGACAGCGTTCTGTGCGCCTTTGGCATTGAGTCATGCTGGCCACATGACCACGGAGACGTCTTCGGACAGCACTGGCTCTTCGGCTTTGAAACAGAGATGAGCACTGCTCCTTAGAGTCTAGCACATATGTGTGAGGGGAACCTTTATCTTTACCTTTTAACCGACATGCTGATGAAAGTAAGCAATGAATTGTGTTAGAACAAATTTGCACTTATTTCAGGATAGAGTCATGGAGTAGTCTAAGGTGAAGTTTTGTCCCTTTAACCCTAGTCTTTGCTTGACTAATAAGAATTTATTTATTTATTTGGTTTATTTATATTCCCACCTTTCTATTCAACTGAATATTGAACATCTGAGATTACAGGATTAGACAGAGAGATAATACATTGGTATATCGATAGAGACTTAAACTGTGCTGTCAATAATATAGCAATTCAGATAATTATAAGAATTCACTCTTGTACATTGAATGATAGTCATAAAACAAGAAAATGGAAAGCTAGGAGACAAAGATCTCTTGAATATCAGAATGAAAAGCTGGGAGTGTTTAGTTTTGTTTTTTTGTTTAATTAGAAAGATGTCAGGCAGATACCAAATTTGTCTTTTTAATAACACAAACAATATGAAATAGCACTCATCAATACCATCAAAATCTGAATGGGCAGCAAATTAAAAACAAATAAAAGGCAATACATTATGCATAATAGATTGATGGAATTTCATGCCACATTTGGATGATATTAGATCAGGCGGCAGAGTAAAAACTTTTTATCTATCATATTAAAAAAAAGATCAGAACTGAAAAAGTTCAAAAGAAAAAAAAAACAGCCTGTAACGAAAGATATAAGTAGCCAAAAACTAATATATGTTAGAAGACTAAACCTAAAGGTTGTGGATCAAATATAAAACCTGTGCAATGAGGTTCCTTCAATACTGGTTCACAACCAAAAAAAAATCAGGTACAATTTGCCAATTTATTTATGTAAGTTTTTTTTTCTTTTTAACCCAACTTTATTTTCTTCAAACTTTGGTTAATCTGGTGAAAAAAGTAAGGTTCTACATTTAGGGAAGAAAAACAAAATGCAGAGGTACCATATATGTGGTACCTTGCTCAATAGTAGTAACTGTGAGAGGGATCTTGGAGTCCTAGTGGACAACCATTTAGACATGAGCCAGCTGTGTGTAGCAGCTGCCAAAAAAGCCAACACAGTTCTGGGCTGCATAAACAGAGGGATAGAATCAAGATCATGTGAAGTGTTAATACCACTTTATAATACCTTGGTAAAGCCACACTTGGAATATTGCATTCAGTTTTGGTCGCCACGAGGTAAAAAAGATGTTGAGACTCTAGAAGGAGTGCAGAGAAGAGCAACAAAGATGATTAGGGGACTGGAGGCTAAAACATATGAAGAACGGTTGCAGGAACTGGGTATGTCTAGTTTAATGAAGAGAAGGACTAGGGGAGACATGATAGCAGTGTTCCAATATCTCAGGGGTTGCCACAAAGAAGAGGGAGTCAAACTATTCTTCAAAGCACCTGAGAGTAGAACAAGAAACAATGGATGGAAACTAATCAAGGATAGAAGCAACTTAGAACGAAGGAGAAATTTCCTGACAGTTAGAATAATTAATCAGTGGAACAACTTGCCTCCAGAAGATGTGAAGGCTCCAACACTGGAAGTTTTTAAGAAGATGTTGGCTAACCATTTGTCTGAAGTGGGTTTCCTGCCTGGGCAGGGGGTTGGACTAGAAGGCCTCCAAGGTCCCTTCCAACTCTGTTATTCTATTCTATTCTATCTGATTGCTAATCATGCTTTTATCATGATAAAGATGGGAGATGCCGGTGACAAAATGGCCGGTGACTCCAAATCCATTTGCAAAATATATATCTTTTATTTTTACCTAAGTAAATAAAACTACCACTGATTCTCATAATTGAAGATAATCCATTTGATGGATCAACTCTGTTTCAAATCACCTTTCTGATGGTCCAGGAATTTTCATAGACTTTTCTGCCAACTTTGTTGACCAGTGTGAACAAAAAAAACCCTGCCAGTTTCCGATTTGGAAAATCATGGGTCGATCCAGAAGCAATGCTTGATACCCACCTTCTCTGTGTTGCCTCAAACTAACATGTGTTTCTTACTGACAAAAGTGCAAATTGTATTAGGGAAATCAGCCTCATTACAAGTAGATAGAAAATTGTCAGACCAATAAACAACATTAACCAATCTTTGGCTAATGGGAATTCCTTGGAGCCAAGTCAATGTCACATCAATGGGCTTATCCTTGTCCCGGATTGCCCTCTAAGAGATGTTTATTGGGAAAGCATCAAGAACCGAAATGCATCTTCCAGCCGAGTCTCAATGTTATCTTCAGCATCAGGCCAATTATTTCACTTGTGTCTTCCTTCCCCCATCCGTTTCCATTCGGTGTTATGAAACAGAGAATTCGCTTTTGAAAACAAAGGGGAACTTTTCGTGAGCAGCACACAATGTCTTTGTACTTTTTGAGTGATAAGGTGCTTTTTTTAAAAAAAAGCTGCCTTTCCCATTTTTCATTGTACAATTCTTTCTTTGGCAGTCTTAATTTTTGCAGGCTTTCACTCAAGGGAAGATATCATGGGAGAATGTTTACCCAGGACCTTTTCAGATCAGAAAGGATGAGCAGCCATGATATTTTTCGGTGTAGCATTATCGACCACATCCAGGAGGAAAGGAAGCTCAGAAACATTGGCTGAAGAAATCGGAAAGATAGCTGTACTGCGGGGAATGAAAACTTGAAAGAAAAAAAAACATCAAGTAAGACTTTTGGGAAGTATTCCTAGCTTAGTCAAAGCAGGAGCATCATTAGGGAGTCCTGAAAATAAAAGGCAGCAACTTTTTAAAACCCACCTGCATCACTGACTTTGCACATAGGCCCTGTACACACAGAGCACAAAAATGGCTTGAAATCTCCTGAGAGGTTAGTGACATTATCCAGCGTTACTTTGAGAAGTGGTAGAGAAGGGCGAACAATATTTTACCAGCTAAAAATGTGACACTTCTCCAGTAATGCTACTGATCCGTTTATGCATTTGGCCATCAATCAATTAAGGGTTGTAACCCACTCCAGGGGTGAAATGTACTTACCTTCGCTACAGGTTCACAAATGTGAGCGCGTGCATGCGCGCACTCACTTCACTTGCATGTGACACCTCTGCGCATGAGCAGAATCTTCTGCACATGCGCAGAGGGTCAAAAACAGGACGTGATGATGTCCAGATGGGTGGGCGGAGTCTTCTGTCGCCAGTGCTACCGGTTCGCCAGAGCCAGATAGAACTAGCTCAATTTCACCACTGACCCACTCCCACTTATAATCTTCTCCTATTGGTTTCTTATGCTTTATCAATTGTTGTTTGTAACTTATGATTAATTATTGTAATTATGATTTGTGATTTATGAGCTATTACTCGCTATTTATATGTATACTACGAGCTTATGCACTGGAGACAAATTCCTTGTGTGTCCAATCACACTGGGCCAAAAAGAATATTCTATTCTGTTCTGTTCTGTTCTGTTCTGTTCCGTTCCGTTCCGTTCCGTTCCGTTCCGTTCCACTCCACTCCACTCCACT